TCAAGTACTCGTTTCAGATAATGCTACCATTTTCAAAAGTGATATTTTTCAAAATTACTGCAAAACAAACGGTATTTTCCAGAAATTCATCGCTCCAGGGCATCCGGCAACAAACGGTTTAGCCGAGAGATCAATCCAAACACTAAAGAATCGCCTGAAAGCAGTTTCAACTGACCAAACTCCAATCCAAACCAAAATTCAAAATATTTTACAAAGGTACAGAGCAACACCGCTAGCTTGTGGTCAGTCCCCGGCGGAACTCTACCTGCACAGAAAAATAAGGATAAGACTAAATGCCATTTTCCCGTACAAACCTCAACCTTCAACTACACAGTCTTCACCTGCACGTTCACTATATGTGGGGGAGAGGGTACAGGTCAAACTTTTCATCAATAATAAAAACATATGGCAGTTTGGTCAAGTAAAGAAGAGGCTTGGGAAAAGACACTATCTCGTAGTTCTCGACTCATCTGATAGAATCCTGAAGAGGCACATCAATCAACTACGCCCAACGCTGGTACAGAGTCCAAAAACGAAAAATGTTACATTCGGACCAACGCAGTTGTTTGATGTTCCCAGAATTCCAAGACGACCAGAAATACATAGGAATCCAGATCCAGTTGCAGCTCCAGAACCAAGGCAACCAGAAGAACAATCTCCAGCAGAAAGAGCTCAAGCTGAGAATGTCATACCACATCGTGAGCAAGCTGATAATACCAACGCCAGACCACAGCGTAAGCGTCACATGCCCTCAAGATTTAGAGACTACCAGATTTGATTGAAAAAGATTGTTCTTAATTAGTGGGGAAGACTGTCATATCCTTTAGTCTATCAACATATGATTTAGTTAATAATTCAAATAAGGTCAAGACAGATGATAATTGTTTTTCAATGTTTACATTTTACTTTATTATAGTTAATCATAACAATTTTCAATAAAAGACTTTCTTCAAATGTGTGCTTATTATGAACTCTAATTCAAAGTCACAACAGGTACTGTAGCCGTAGCCTACTATGAAAATGTTGGCATACTTGCATATATTCATCCACGGCCACCTTTAACTTCAGGCCACGGCCTGGTGGAATTGGCAACGTCGCAAGTAGTGCTGTTTTGTGTCAGACGTCCCATAAGATAACTTGGCAGACAGGTAACATCAGCCATGGCCGCCTGCATCACCTCATTAATTCGCATTTTAATGATTCAAATTTAAATTTATGAACATGGTTTTATTAAAATAATGAAAATAAAACATACGAAATTGAAAACCAAAACAATATGGATTGAAAATCTATATCTGTACATTTAAAGCGGAGTCAGTATTTTCGGTATTTTCATAGTCCAGTAAACAAGCGTTCGTAACACAAAATACCATTTTTTTAGATGCTTCCGCTTTCAAACAAAACAACTGTTACAACCCCAAAAAAAACTGCGACGTTGCCACATCGAAGGCCTTGGCCTAAAGGCGGCCGTGATTCATCCCTATATAGTCAAGTATATAATAAGTCCATGGTAAAGTGCTACAGGGCAATTACAAGATTACCCAACAGTATTCTCGCAATCGCAATTTAAAAAAATAAAAATAATAGTAATAGTATTACCTTATTACCTCCTCTTCGTCTTTGACCAGCCAGGGCCGGATATACAGCGTCAATTATTTAAAAATAAAACTTTCTTTAATAAAACATATATTTACAATTAAAGCTTTAGATGGTGGTGGGCGGTCAAAGGTTGGGTGCTTCCTCAAAATTCCCCTCAACTGAGTATAACAGGTTTGCAGGAGGAGCTCCTTGATCCTTCCCTTTAGGCTCTAGCCCCGGCCACCTTTAACTACAGGCCGCGGCCTGGTAGAATTGGCAACGTCGCAAGTGGCGTTGTTTAGTGACAGACGTCCCATAAGATAACATGGCAGACAGGTGACATCAGCTCATTAATTCGCACTTTATTGGTTTAAATTTAAATTTGTGAACATAAATTTATTAAAATATTGAAAATAAAACATACATAATTGAAAACCGAAACAATATGAATTAAAAATCTAGATCTGTACATTTTAAGCGGAGTCAATATAGTCATAGTCCAGTAACCAATCTTTCGTAAATACACAAATACCATTATAGCTGCTTAAAAAAAAAAGCTGTTACAACACCACTTGTGACGTTGCCACGTCGAAGGCCGTGGCCTGGAGTTAAAGGCGGCCGTGCTCTAGCTCTCTGCAGGTGAAGTGGCAGGGCACATGTAGAGCAACTGCGGGGAAGCTATCTCTTGTCAGGGACAGTCTAAATCGCTGAGTATTTAGCTTCTGTGCTCCTCTAACGTTGTAAGAGTGGAGCATGGCCTCGGAGCTCAAAATTGCTCAGGTTTTTTTAATGTTCACAACACAGGCAGGGATATACTGATTATAGACTGTAAATATGTTTAACAGTTTAAAAAGGGATCTGCATGGCTTCCGCCTCCTACTATTTGTGATTATTCGTAGTGCCTGTTTCTGCAAGCGAAGCACACGACTGCTGTCAGCGGCATGTCCCCACAGTTGAATGCCGTAGGCTACATGGCTGTGAAAAAGCGAAAATAGACTGTCAGCAGGTACTGCACAGTTATCTGATGTTTCAGTTTTCTCATGAGGAAGATTACTCTGCTTAGTCTTACACAAACAGAATTTATATATGAGGGCCCAACTGTAACTTGGAGTCCAGGACGAAGCCAAGATGTTTGACAGGAGGGTCAGGAGATGGAGATGATCTGCTTAGGGTAAGCAAAAGCCTTCGTGCTTTATCTTCGTTGAGCTTCAAGTTATTTATGAGGAACCAGTCCTTAGCCTCTCGGGAAAGATGATCTGAACAGGCGACCGCAGCAGTAGGATCTTCCCCCTTCATCGTCCACAAAAAGTAGTGTATCTCTCTCCCAACCTAGGTCGTTCATCAGTATCAGGAAGAGAGAGGGGCCAACTATTGAGCCCTGCGGAGCTCCGAACATCACATTGGCTGGGGAGGACAGTGTGCCCTGCACTGCTACCATCTGACTTCTACCCTCTAAGTAGGATTTGAAGGTCTGGAGGGGAACTCCGCCAACTCCATAATAGGCGAGCTTCTCAAGCAATATGTCGTGGGAGACAATGTTGAAGGCTTTCGACAGGTCGCAAAGGACCAGTGCCATTGACTGTCTATTTTCAAAGGAGTCCAATACCACACTGATCAAGGAGACGAGGGCTGTTGTTGTTGACCTCGACTTCCGAAACCCGTGTTGGGAGGCTGTAAAATAGTGATTTTACTTCAAAATGGTCGACAATCTATCTCTGTACAATCTTCTCTACAATATTTCCTACAGTCGGGATTATTGAGATTGGTCGATAACTCGAGGTAAGGTTTGGGTCCTCCTTTTGAAAATAGGTATAGTCCTTGAGATTTTAAGGCAGTCTGGGAAAAGTCCCACCCGCAGACACCTGTTTATCACCTCAGACAGAGGCAGCGATATTTAATTTATTACGGACTTGAGGATCCAAGGTGAGATTATCTGGACTTATTGATTTAGAGAAAGATTTAACTATTTTAATTAATTCCTCTTTAGTAGTAGGATATTCCATTCCTCCAAAGGGGTCAGGGGCTGTACCTAGACTCTGATTTCTCCACTTCGGTTTCCAGCGGCTTGTCTGCTAGTTCTTAAGTTATGTCTTTAACTGAGTTGACAAAGAACTGGTTATAGTAATCTGGACTAGAAAGTTTGTTGACTACTCGATGACTACATTTTTATTCCTCGAGTAATTTATCACTGACCATGCTGCCTTACATTGGGGAACTCTGTATGTGTACTACGGTTGCCCTTTTTTTTGCCTCGTTTACCTGACATTTATAATTACGCTTTGTTTTCAGATACAGAGAGTAAAGTTTGTCCCTTTACATTAGGAGATTGCTCGGCCTTATATCTACCTAAGATCATAGTTTTATGTAAGCGCTGACCTGCCCAGTTCGGGTGTATAACAGTCCTTGGCAATGCATGCGTTACTAATTTGCCTTGGCTGTGATTTAGGCTTAGATTTATTTAAAAGCGGAAAAAAGAAATTGAACACTTCCATCAGTTTACTGTGAAAAGCTTGAAAAAAGGATGCTGGGTCGGGGTCGTCTAGGACCAGAGCCCAGTCTCTTTTACTCAAAGCTTCCTTAAACTGAGGCAGCAGTTGGTCACTCACAATTCTCTTATAAAATACATAATTGTCATGCCATGATATAGAGGATGAATTACTCGCCAAGCTTTCTTCTTTACAATCCATCAGCACTGGCAGATGGTCGGTAATCAGTGCTAAAGGTACCACCACACTGTAGTCCCAGACATCGAGGTTTGAAAGCAATCGAGTCTATTTCTATACATTTATCCCCTTTGGTGGTAGTATGTTTTATCTATGGTGGTACTGATGATAACAGTAGTTTGGTATCTTTTTTGGCTACACAATTTCATTCTATGTTAATTATTAAAAAGATTTATTATTGTTAGTCTACATTTGCTCAGGGTTTAGTTTGTTGTTCTTGTTGTCAAGTTTTTTCTGTTAAGTAATAATCATATGTCCCATTGCATGTTCGGCTTAGTTGACTCTTAGATATTAGTAGCATCGTAACATTGAATATTGATTGTAAACATTATTTTAACATGTTCGGCTTGACCCTTAGATATTAGTAACATCGTAACATTGAATATTTATTGTAAACATTATTGTAAATTGGTTTGTTTGGACCGTTGGAAGCAAAATAAAATAAAATAAAATAAATGGTGATTTTTGCCCTTGAGCAATAAGACCAAAACCAAAATCTTACTGGCTTGTTTTATAATAATATACATAATGTCTTATAAAAAGTATGTATTAGTTCTGTTGCCTTTGAGGATACCTCAGTCGCCATTCGCATCGGATGTTTTTTGTCCAAGTCAGATCTAGATCTATTTCCGATGCGGCGATAATAACCAGCAACCATGCAGCCGATTGCAATTCAACAGTCGAAGAGTCGAGTTGCGCGTCGGTTTGTGTGTGCGCAGAAATCAATGATAATTTTCCCAAGTCATGCGTGCTCCGGAAATGGAGACAGGTGTATTTGTAAGTCAATAAGATTTAAGAAATTTAATTTTCGCTTGGTGACAGTGTTTTTTATGTCTTCAGAGCAGTGATAAAAATAGTTGTTTTAAATTAGATCTTCACTTGCTGGTGTAAAAATGATCTTTAACCATAGTGCATTTATACAGTTATTTTGTGAAATCAGTAACAATTTACTACATATGCTACATATTGCTATTACTAATTTCCCCAGTAGGCTACTTTAATTGTTAACTAAAATTGCTTCCGAAACAGACACTGATTTAACACGAAAAATGGATGAAAATTTGAGCAGAGGTTATATACAGCTTGGGAAAGCTAGGGGTGCCAATGACTTCCGATTTACCAACGGGTTTAGTCATCTGTCCCCTCCAGTTGACAAATTTAATGGCATTTATTTGTCTTTGGTACTTGCCGGTGTTGGGTTTCTCTTACCATATAACAGGTAAGTCAAATAATCAATATCCCCCACTTCTACCATATTCAATAAATTTGAAATTATAGCAATGGATATGCAATAAAATTAGAGGTTGTATATATAATAGTTTTATACTATATGTACGTTAAACTATTGAAACAAACTTTCAATTTCTTATTATTTAGGTAACTTTTGGAACTATAAACTGTGAAACACCACACTTTCAATCACAAAATTTGTAGCCAAACAAAAAAACTTACCTATAATTATTTCATTTTGAAATAAACTAAGGAAACTATGTATATATACAATTATTGATCTGTCTCCTCTTCAATTTCAGTTTCATCATTGCAGTGGACTATTTCCAAGCACAATATCCAAACAGTACAATAGTTTTTGACATGTCCCTGGTGTACATTGTCATGGCGTTTTTTGCTGTCCTCGCCAACAACATTCTTGTTGAAACTCTGTCCCTCAATACTCGAATAACTTTTGGTAAGGATTTAAAAATTAAAATAAAATTTACCCAGTAAGTTAGTCTATCTGTGCAGGCAGGACACAATCTTATTTTTGTTATATTCACCTATGTTGAATAGTTTTTAACCCTTCACGGACGGGCTAAATCGGGACATAGGACGAGAAAAAATTAGAGGAAAAAATACAAATTATTTTTTTTTATTTGTGTTTTGTTATACAAGTATAACTTACATAAAATAAACACAATGGAACACTTCATACTGTCAAAATAGTTTTTTAATTGTTTTTAACTAGGCCTATGCGCTATCCGCTACCCGTCCGCGAATGAGTAGAAATGCAGCGGATATATCCGCCACCCATCTTTGAAGATATGACCATGACAACGTTAGGCAATGAATAAAAAACAATATGTAAACAATAAATAAAGACAACGTAATGTTGAGCGCGAAATGTCGAGAGAGGAGCCTAGGAATGGTGGTAGGTGCGCGGGAGGGGGGGTGACGCAGAAGAGGGGTTGGTGTGCGAGAGAAGAGAGAGTGCGGGGGAGAGCGCAGCCATGGAGAGAGCAGGAAAGTTGCACCTTGGTACCGCGAAACATTTGGTTACTGCTCAAGCACCTGCCAGTCTGTCTGAAGAGAAGGCGGATATAACCGCTTCCCATCCGGAACATCAAAAACCATAAGAGGATATATCCGTCACCCGTCCTTTATCGCCAAAGACTTAGGCGGATATATCCGTCACCCGTCCGCAAAGGGTTAACTTCGATGTTACTGACTTGTGAATGGGTCATCAATTTTTTTGTGTGTGCTTAAGACATATGTTAAATATATTTTTTAATTTTTTTAGTGTGGCCTTGGCTAGGCCTACCGGCACACAATATATCATGTTTCATGGAAATGTATGAAAACACAGTAAAGCCAACAACTTTGTAGTTCTGGAGGCAGAGCACTTGAACGATTATCATTATAGGCCTACATATTAAAATAAAAAGTATGTTTTCAAATATTCTCTGGAATATTTACTCTTACACTGCAATTACACTGCAAGTTACATTAAAGACTAGTATTCCTGGTTATTAATAGTTTGTTTCCTATTGAGAGGACTCACTCAATTTACACTAATTTAGGAGGAGGTTAGCTTGCTCCTTTTATTAACCCTTTCGCCTATCATTTTAAGGTTCCGTCACCTTGTCCTAGGTTTAATTTATTATGCAGATCATTAAACCTACCTGTATTTTAACTTCAAATTATTGACTACCAATGATAACAATAACAAATCAAATATAAAATAATACCCCTGCCGCAGCAAACCTGCAGACTAAGCTAATTTCCACTTGTCTGAATAATTTTTACTGAAATATTTCCATAAATAAGACATATTTATTCCCAATTTAAATCTAGACGGTAATGTGCAAAAACTCAAATTACCGAATTATTGGTCGGTCATAATTAAGCTCAATCGGAGACTGAGAGATTCAATATAGTACTCTTGCTTCGATGCTATTGCTGGTTGCCAGAAGTTTCAAAAACCAATTCCAATGAGTGTTCAAAACTACTATAATTTACTGACAGCCACATTTTATACATTTTTAGGGACTGGCAACAAAAACAGTGGTGTTTAATACAGTGGTGTTGCAGGTCTAAAGTATCTCTTTTTCCCCTGGAGAGGGAAACATTTCTTTTACTGGCTAGGGAGTAAAAATCAGCTGAAGTTAATAAAAATAGCAATACATTTTTCTCACTTTTTAACTTTGATTGTAAGCAATCAGTAGACATTCGATCCCCTTGTTAAAGTTGTCGCCAGTTTTGTAATCAAAATCGCTGTAGTTTATGTGAGCCACCAACGGATTGCGCTGATCTAAAATAGTAATTTCTGTCGACTACATGATGTTTTTTACCAAGTCAATCTGATGGAACGATTTATTACGAGCTACATCAACTATTATGACCCATCAACTATGTCAGCAACAAAAAATAAGCTAGAAAATATAATTTTCCTACAGTCGCCCGACAAAGTTGGCTTCCCTGTACTGTTTATAGTACAGAAAGCTGCTAATTGCTGCATATTTATACTTTGCCGTACGGTTTATACTTTGCCGTACGGTTTATACTTTGCCGCACATCAGGATTCCAACCAAACAACACAAAACAGCGTGGTTTTATTATGCACGTAATCCGTGTACGCTTGGAAATAGGTTGGCAACACTTAAAGATAATAATTCTATGAGCAGCTGATTGACTAATTATAACTACGATTTAACCTGTCATTTCGTGTTTATAGTTTCGGTATTCCTGAACTTTCTGGACTTTTCTTTTAAACGTTTTTAAAATATTCCTACGATCTTAATAAAAAAAAAAAATACCTTTTAAGCATTTTTTAAGGCGCGGAAACCACTTCAAATTACTAAAACATACGGAACTATATTCTCAAAACGCGTAGCAAATTTCTTGCCGAGGAAAAATAGCGGAGTGATACGGACCGCGGGTACTACATTCTCTAGGGCACCATTTTTGTTGCCAGCTGAACCTAAAAAAGCTTTGTATAGTGTTTGAAAGACTAATTATTTATATGCTTTATAGTGACTGTAAGAAAAATATAATGTGTAACACGAGTGAAAAAGGCCTTTGCTGCACTCGATATCATTCCGCACTCGCCTGCGGCTCGTGCGTAAACATTGCTCTCGTGTGCAGCAAAGTGCCACTTTCACCACTAGTTACACAAATAACTATTTAGACTAGCACATTCTTTGACTGGCTCACACAACTACATTCTTTTTTAGTAAAAAATTGGCAACAGCTGGTCAACAATATTTACCAACAGCATTTACCATTGGCAAAAACATATTGTAATTAGGGGCGTATATAAGGGGAGGAGGAACAGGGGGCCTGGGCCCCTTCCGAAATAATGGATATGAAGAAAAAATAGGTCCTATAATATAAATTATTTATCATGAATCATGATGAATTCATTGCCGTGGCAGACAGTGATAGTTTGTGCGAGTTTGGGTTGCTTCAGACTCGAGCTCCCACCCGCCGCCCGGCTATCTTTTGCTTGCAGCAGTGACTGCTAAAGACCACCATATCTACCGGCGACAGGGGAGGGAAGTAATGAAGAGTTCAGTCAGTTCAGTGGTAGCCATTGTTATTGTTTGTTATCTGTTCGACGTTGTACTGAAATGTTAAAGTTTTGAAGTTCGCGTTCGCACAAAAGAATACTTAAAACAGTAGGTAGAACCCCTTCGAATATGATAATAACAAATCGCATATTTAACTAGGTTTGGATAAGTGTTTACAGATGGAATGACACACTGTTAAACCTTGATCAATGCTTTTTGATTTAGTAATTGAGATATTTTCTTCCCTTGGCTTGAATAGATACATTTTTATAATTTAATGGACCAATTTAATGATACAGCGTGATCTTGGTAAAGTAAAGGTCAAATTTAGCGCAAATTACCGCAGCAAAACTGAGATAAAGTGTCTACTTGAAAATACTTAACCTGACCTTAAATTAATCTCGGCCCCCTCCAACAAAAAATTGTATATCCACTACTGATTGAAATCTATTTTCTTTGTAGCTTCTGGATACAAAGACAACCGTAAAAGACGAAATGATTCTATACCTACCTGCTGCTTACCTGCTCCTACCTAACAGCTGCTTACCCACAATAGCAAAATTGAAAACAAAATGGAAGTTATTTTGGGAGCTTATCTTAACATGAAAAGTAGCTTCCTTTTGTAACTTAGTTGGCTTTGGTGCAATATGACATATAATATAGATCATCACACAAGCAATAGTTAGCACACAGTGGGCGAAGTGGCACTTTGCTGCACACAAGAGAAATGTTTACGCGTCGAGCCGTAGGCCTGTGTGGAAAGTTTCAAGTGCAGCAAAGGCACTTTGCACTCGTGTTCCACATTATATTTTTCCTACAGTTTGTATAAATCATATAAAATAATTAGTCTTTCAAACATTATACAACACGTTTTTAGGTTAGGTTAAATTATCAATTATTATCAATTATCAATTATCAATTATTAAAGATGGGGACGCCACTATGTGCGTATTTTAACCCAAATATGAGGTGAAGGATGAGTGTAGGATGAGTGGCGCGATCTTGTAGTCTTGTTAGTGACTAAGGCCGACATGTTCCTTAGACACAGCTGTTAATTAATAGCCCATACAGCTAATGGCAACTAAGGGACCTACAGTTTATAGTGGAATCCGAACCACATTTTTTCTTTGTAATTTACGAATTGGTCTAGTTATCGGGATAGTACTGCGGATAGTCGTAGTACTCACTAGTGCGGACGTTAATCCACACCAGGTAGCATCACATCCACAGTGCATCCCTATAAATATCCACCTCCTAGTAGCTGGATTACAGGACGACGCCACCCGTCCCAGTAAATCCAAACATTGAACGAAATGGGAAGCGCTGCACCAGCTGATCGTAGTCGTAATATCTTTAAGTGTTGTTAACTTATTTTCAGGCGTACACGGATTACGTGCATAATAAGAGCATGCTGTTTTGTGTTGTTTGGTTGGAATACTGGTGTGCACCAAAGTAAAAACTGTGCACCAAAGTAAAAACTGTGCGCGAAAGTAAGAACTGTGCTCGAAAGTAAAAACTGTGCGTCAAAGTAAAAACTGTGCGCCAAATTAAGGCTTTCTGTACTATAGGCTAATCTATTCAAGGAAGCCCACTCTATTCGACTGTAGGAAAAAGTGTCTTTTCAACCCTCGCTCAGTTAAACTTGAGAGAGTCACTTTACGCCCTAGTGAAATACTATAAGATCCAATTTCAAAACATAGGTTTTTGAAATTTCTATTTTTATTACAATGTATCACAATTTTATCAAAATAAGTTAGTTCTTATCTTACTCCTACATCCCTTATGTATTTGTAAAATTTACTGAAAATATTTTGTCTTACTTTGCTTTACTATACCGTAATTTGATATTTCAAGGGGCTAACTTTGTCATACTTATTTTTCAGGATATGTGGTGTCTTTTTTTACATTGTTGTTTGTGGCAACTTGTGAGATTTGGTGGGAGATATTTGGATCAGGTACCTCATACACCATCAACTTGATAGCTGTGGCAGTTGTAGCTCTAGGATGCACTGGTGAGTTTTGAGATAGGTATTTCACCTATTGACAACAAGCTCTTGTACACGAACTACATCGAGTGGTTTGGGTTAGATGTCATAAAATGCAGAATAAGAGGATGGGATTTGTACAGTGAAATAAAAGTATTTCATTATTTCATGTTTTTTTTTAATCACCATAAAAATCATAATTAAAAAAATAGAAAAAACGCTTGGAGATACCATGGATTTTAGTACCTTCTTACCAAATTTCATCAAAATTGGACCACAGCTCTGTACACATCCACTAATAAGTTGATCTGTATCTCTGTACACATCCACACATACAGACAGACACACACACACACTCACACTCGGTCAGACATCACTTCAAAAACCACTTTTTTGGGTTCAGGGGGAGGGGTACCCCAAACGGATATATATCCAATCCAAACTCAATCTCAAAAATTTTGGCAAAAACAATACTTTCTCCATATATTATGTATAGGGGGACAAAGTAAAAAAAGTTATAAAACGTATGAAAGTGTCACTCCATCTACAGCACTGCAAATAAATATGGGCCAGGTCTCAAGTTTCTGTTTTGACTATTAAACTCTGGAAAGATCCCTGGAATTATTTTATTTAGTTATTATTTATTTGAAACAAATTGAACACACATTTTTTACATATCATTTTACACCATGCTGCAAAAGCCTGACATGGCTTGTCTGCAGCTCATTAAACTAAGGGAAATCAAGTCCAAACTCGTATCACTTCCATCAGTCAGTGTGTGTGTCCTCCTTATCTCTCTTTAAAAAATTAAAACTTAACTTTAAGAGAAAAGTTTGCTTTGCTTAAGTTAAGAGGCTGTACTTAATGGTGTTTTTCCAGACTTTAAGCTATGATTTTTTTCTCCACGAGGAAGATAATTATTGACTGGTAACTGGGAAGCGGATACAATCGGGTTATAATTCTTTATTGCCTCTTTGTGACAGGTGTTGGGTGGGGTTTATATTATACAAAGCTGGAAGAAAAAGAGTTGCTCTGGAGGGCTGCTTGTTATTAAGGCTCTTTTTGGGTGTCGTTCTAAGAAACAATTAGCACATAATAAAAAAAAAAAAATAAACCGGGGACAAAAAAATAGTTTACGCTATACAGAACTGTGAGTAACTCAATATGCATCCAGGATAAGTGTAGTATTATACTAGGTCTAATAAAATTACTTATTAGTAAAAATACACTTAAAATATTGGCTCTTGGCAATGTGAATTGTTATTTGGCATGTGTTTTCTAGTTCAGCAATCCAGTTTCTATGGGTACACAAGCATGCTACCCAGCCGATACACCCAGGCAGTCATGGCAGGGGAAAGTAAGTTTAACTATCCCTCAATAGTTTTTTAATTTATTGATTTAAAAAAGTGCTATCCTGAAAGAGTTTATTCGAAACCACAACCCCTCTGATATATATAGAAAAGATAATTATACCTTAAACCAAGGTTTTGGTTTTACTTAGGAGAACAAAACAAAATTTTTTGCCACACCCTGTACTTTTAGTTAAAAATATTTCTCCCATAAAATGAATGCCTTAATTTATCAACCATAAAATAATATCTTTCCTGCTAGGTGGTGCCGGGTTCCTGGTATCGGCAAACCGTATCCTCACCAAGATGGTGATGGACGATCAACGAGCCAACACTCTAATCTTCTTTGGGGTGTCTGTGATGATGGTTGCTCTGTGCTTCTGTCTACACCAGATGGTGAGACGGACAGACTTTGTCCAGTTTTACCTCACGCTGTGTCGTGAGTCACGTAGGATTACGCTGGAGCCTACAGAAGACGCAGGATTGGTGAGTGTTTCATTGCATGGTTGATTAACTGTGATTGAATATAATATAATATAAAACCAACTATATAAAGGGATAACATTACCCATAGCAATCAAGACTTTTTAGTTATGTCAAAGTTGAAATAAATTGTTTTCAAGATTAAAGAAACGATTCAAGATTTAATGAAGATCTTCTTTGTTTTGAATTCAAAACATATGTTAAAGATTTATTTCACACTTTTTTGTAAATTTACTAACATTTATATTTTAAGATTTATTGTAGTGTTTAATCAATATTTGTATGAAGTGGAATAACCTCAACGGTTACACTTAGAAAACAATTTGGGAATAAAGATGAAGATGTGGTACAGGTGTTTGTTCATCCAATACCTCGCTCCAATCAAAAAAGGTTAAAATAATATAGCCTAGCATGCATGGTAGTAAAGGGAGCACCTATACCAGGGTGATCAACTCAAGGAAGCCACCATTGGGATATCGGAAACTGTAAGAATTAGAGAAAACTTTAAATGGGGGACATTCCTTTATTTTTTGTGGAAATTAAAAATATGAATTTAGTTTTTCAGCTGCCATTTTCCAATATGGTGGCCAACTTTAAAATTTCTTATAGAACACACTATATTTGATTATGTTTTCGGATAGAACATGCAATTTAAAAACTTGTTTATTCTTGGTATTTTTTTCATAAACCCACTCGTTTAGGAGTTACAGCCTGTGGAAAAATGACTTCCGGTGTACATGTTGCATAATGTAGCTCCTAAACGAGTAGGTTTATAGCGAAAATGCAAATGTAAATAAGTCTTAAAATTGCATCTACGTTCCAAAAGGACCATAAAATGCCTTAAAATACACAGTTTCCCACTTTTCAAGTTTGCTGCCATTTTGGAAAATGGCTGCCATTTTGGAAATAATAGAATCAATATTTTTTACGTATTTTATCGTTTTTTTGGAATGTGATTGGACTACATCAGTGCTCTTTTAAGCAAGGCTCATTTTATTTTTACCTGTGCAACTCCTTTTTTGTTATTTGTTTATAACTATATGGCAACGGAAATTGACTTTGAAATCCGTGATTAATACAGGGCTATTAATAAATCGTATCGTCTTCTAAATCAAACTACAAAATTCGTTCATGGTCCAGCATTTCCTCTGTGATTATTCAATTCACTTTAATTGCTCTGCTGTTGTTAAACCAATTAATGAAATCATAGATGCTGGGTCAATATTTAAGCTCTGAATAACATGTTGTAGGTCAGGATGAAACACATAGTTTAACTGCGCCAAGATTTAATAAATAGCTAAGTATTGCTGTTTTATTACTAAAAATATTAATCTACTATACTAACTAATGTATCTACATCAACATATTTAGGCAATTTTCCTATTGATTTTACCTGAGTTTCTAGGATAAGATTTAGGCTTAAGATTATAGTCCTTTAGTTTAGCCCATAAAAAAAACATCTTGTACACAATCAATGTAAGAATTCTTCTGATCCATCTATAAATTACCAGAGTTTTTAAAAATCAGAATTTTGAGGGTTTGACAGCTAGCTCGCAGGAGGATGGGAAAGCTAGGGCTCAAGTTAAAGGTCCCAGGGTGTTGAAAAAAAAAAAAAAAACAGATCATGTCAAACCTACCAGAAAATTAGAAATAACATAAAATTCTTCCATTTAAAATGCATTGGGATTTTAAAACGTCAGCTTTGTTTACATTAAACATTCATTTTTATCCTACTTAGGGATGGACGAGATTGGATTTTTAGTTCGAGACGAGACGAGACAAGATTTTTTATTTCTCATAAAATTTCGAGACGAGATCGAGACGGGATTTCCCTTCTCATACACAACGGGAAATGCACGTTCAAATTGTTACCTGATTTTGTAACATTGTTAGATGACTGTTTAAATACAAAAGTAATGATAATAGCCAAGAATATTTACAATCTTTTATTAAAAAACATCAGCATAACATTTTTTTACTAATCACCCCTAACTTATTAAAAATGCCTACGATTAAGATATCAGTTAGGATAGAGTTCAACTTATCCTAAAATAAAATAAATCATAAAATAAAAGCAATATTAATTTTTATAAAATAGTTACTTGATTAGACTTTTTATAGTAATAAAACATTCCTCACACTACTTACACTTCACAAAACTTCTCAAATGTTATTAAAGTAATATTATTAAAATAATTAAAGTAATATTTAGATTTAAAGAATTAATTAAATACGAACGCCTTCGTAAAAGAAACGCAACTACAACACGCTCCTGTATTGCGGGTATTGCATTGACTTTCTGCAGGCGTTTTTAATTTTTTAAAATTTCCCGAAATTTCGAGACTTGACCATCCCTAAATCCTACTTTTAATTTTGTTGATAGAGTATGTGAAGTTTGTTTATTAATCAACAAATAATTAATTTAGATAAATTCAGCTTTCACTAAAGTAATCTAAAAATGATTAACTTAAGATTTTTGACAAATAATTATAATGTTCACCGCCTTTAACAGAATTAAACCTCTCTAGAATGATTCAAATGATTTATTGAAAATAACATCGACAAAAGCAAACAAAGAGACTGTTTTTCACACAAAAGTGATATCTATATCATGACACATAGAAAATTTGATTCTGAGTGTGTTTAAATATTGTAAAAATTTGTTTTGCAATTTGAGCTTTTTAGGGACTTATGTCTCTACAATAGCTTTGATTAAATTTTCTCAAAGTATTAACTGACATCTTTTTGAAATTAGTTTGCTAACCAGGCCTATCCGTCCATGAGTGAAGGGGATTTTGATTTCACAGAGTGTGGTGATAAAAACGATTAAACAGTAAATGTGCTTTTTTTTTATGAGAACTAAAAATACAGCCTCACAGCCTTGCTCACTCAATTTTCAAAGCTAATTTACACTGGATCTGTATAAAATCAGTTGCTTGAAGGATTTTGAATTGTAATAGTATATTACGTTACTAGTCCTGAAAATAAATGTTTACCGGACGAGTGTGGTCGTTCCCGTGCGAGACGAAGTCGAGTACGGGATTACCATACGAGTCCGGTAAACACATTTCGGACGAGTGACGTACGATAGTTTACGCCATACTACTTAATTCGTACAAATCCTTATATATTTCCACCAACTAAAGGACTAAACATCACCAGTCATGACCTCTAAGAGAGGTTATGTTTTTGTTTATAACCAATCATTGCCACGCAAATACAGTATAATCAGCTGATTGGTGTCCGGTAAAACTCATTGCAGAACAGTATTACGCAATGAAACCCCATTTGAATAAGCTGGCGGCAAACAGCTGTTTTCTGGACTAAATCCTTGCGTGGGAAGTTCGTCAAAATAATGTAGTGTGGCGTAATAGTAGTTTACGCAACAATTGCCTAAATATAGTGTTAACAACATGAGTAGAAGGCAAGGTACGAGCCTTGGCGAGTGCCTTAAAACTTCTACGAGTGTCGTTAACACTATTTACGCGAGTTGCGTAGGCCACTTTGCCTACGACAGTGTTTTAATTACTAAAAATTACTACTCGTAACCTCTTTATGTTTTCGTTTATAACCTCTCATTGCCACTGACAGTGATGCAACGAAACATTGTATCAAACACTAATGCACCAATCAACAATTAAATTGGCCTAAACAGCTGATTAGTTGAATTTCAAATCATTACAATTTGACTTCTCCTCTCTCAATCCTTGAACCTCATTGATCCGTTACCTGAGTTGATATGACTATGAGTAAAACTATGCTGTTATGAAAGTGAACAATGCTGTTATGAAAGTGAACAATGCTGTTATGAAAGTGAACAATGCTGTTATGAGATACTTTTCAATTCTAAGAACTGTACTGAAAAGGCTACTTTAAAAAACGGTTGTAGGTAAAATAATTTAAGTCTCTAGTCAATAAATGAGAGGAATTTTAAGTTAACTTCTTAATTGTTCATTTAATATCACAATGTTAAATTAGTTTATTTCCAGTATCCAAAAGTCAATATATACTGTATAAGAAAATAAAAAAGGAATTTGTTATATAATTAATTAAGTTTCAGTTTTGATTACTACCCTTTTCCCCAGAACGCACCATTTCTCAAACTTGGTCCCCTCCCAAGTTCCTGCATGGTTACACTATGCAGAGTTTATGGGTCTGTAATGTTAAAATTTTGATCAACATATTGATTTCTATAAATTATAACTCAATCTACAGATGGATCCATTGGATCAAGTGGAAGGCGCGTCTAAGAGTCAATACGGAGTGTTGAAACTTCAGCCGCAGAGTCCTATGGATGCTGCAAGTGGACAGCACTTCAGTTTTGCCAACCCGGTGTATGAGCCCAGTGGTACCAATCCCGTGGGGCCGTCGTACAAGGTGGAGGATGTGGTCGTCCGCATGAGAAGCACGACAGGCTCTGGTTCTTACAGGAGGACCAACTCTACCAGAGCTTGGGCGGCCATCAAAAGTAAGATTACGGTTTTATTTTGGCTTGGTATTACAGTAGAGTCTCGATTATCAGACCAAAACTGGCCGCATAAAGGACGTATAAGCTAAATGTCAGAAAACACAGAACTTAATAGAAATAAACAGTATCAGCAATCTGACACATACTTTCTCCTGTTTGCTTGTCTACAACCCTTTCAGGGCACATGGGTAATCGGTGAGATTAACTTTGATAATTTATTGGTAAAATCACAAACGTTGCAACAACTTTTAAACAGTAATTTTTACAGAAATAGGGGTTGTACCATTTTGTTTAGAGTTAAAAGGACTTTTTCATACACACAATTTGAATCAGTCTTTTTTTTAACCGATCTTCCATGAATGGCTTTTATGGGAAAAATCACAGAAGTTACAATAAACTTTTTACCCTTATTTTTTACAGCAATGGGGATTATACCACCTTGTTCAGGATAAAAAAGAGTATAACATACTAAATTATAATCAAAATCGTACTGGCCAATTTTGAGAAAACTTTATTTTTGTTATTTTATGGGTTTTTCTAAAAAAAATCACCATTAATAATCAAAGTTACAAAAAATAAAAAAATAAAAATACGTGGACATATAATGGATTGTACTCCACATAACAAATTTCATCAGAATCGGACGACAGGTTTGGTCTGTAGCTCTGTACAGATCCACACATTCTAACAGACACACAGTAAAACACTTTTATGGGGTTCAGGGGGACCCAATATGGATATATCCACAGAAAATTTAAATACAGTAATACTATGGTATTGGTATAGGGCGAGGCGAGAAAGTAAAAAATACATTGTTAACACGTCAAAATCATAAAGTTAATCAGTTTTTTTTTTTTAATCATCTTGTTAGTCAAGCCTATTTGATTTGAAGCTTCTATAAATAAAACTACCTTTTTCATTTTGAATACATCACCACAAATAACCTACAAGTCTTTTGTTTAAGTTAAGGTTAACAAGAACTTAAAACATGAAAATGCTTAGGCTACAGAATAAGTTTTTGATGCTGCAGAGGGATTGGTAGCAAGGTGGGAGGTTGCACGTAACGTGTGGCACTACATGCTGTCCATTGCACTGGCGTACTTCGTCACACTCTGTCTCTACCCGGGGATCGAGTCGGAGATTGTGAGCTGTAAGTTCGGCAACTGGATGCCTGTCATACTCATGGCTGGGTTCAACGCTGCAGACCTAATGGGGAAAGTGAGTAGAAATCTAAGTTACTCAAAAGTGGTTATAGAGTGTTACCGAAGTAATAGGTTGTATTGTATTGCTTATTGGTGAGTGGATAACTGAGTTACTTTAAAAACTTGTTATGTATTGGAGGATAGAAAACTATGAGGGTTGTCTGTAAGTTAAGATCTCCGATGCCCTCTAGCCACAGCCAAGCTAGATAATTTAAATCTGTCTCTGCAAGTAAAAACTTTCATGACTACTATTCTACTGGGCCCCACTCCTGTATGAAGATTAGTTTCATGATAATTTATAACAATGTGAAGTAAACACGATGCTTTAGATATGTATTGTGTTCTGTAATTATTTTTATCCTGTGGTCTTAGACGTTAACTTCCCATTGAATGCCTACAATAATCCCTCAGATAACATAAACCATCAAAAACTAATTTAGAATAAGTACTTTGATGCTTATACTTTGATCACATAGGTGGTGGCGTCAGTGCCGTATGAGTGGTCACGTTCCCAGCTGCTAGTGTTCGCCAGCCTGCGTGCCGTCCTCATTCCCCTGCTAGTGCTGTGCGCCACACCCCGCGGGTCACCCGTCATCCCAGGGGAGGGATATCCCCTCTTGTTCTCACTACTGCTTGGCCTCACCAACGGCCTCGTGGGGAGTGTGCCCATGATTCAAGCACCCAGCAGAGTCAGCGAGGAACATCGCGAACTTACTGGTACATTCTTTTGGCTTTGAGATCCTTACATTTTTGGAAATCGGAGAAGTAAAAGAAAGTGACCTTGGCATATGTACTACATGGACCATAGTCTGATACACTTTTCTGATTTTACTTTTCTGTGACTAATATAAATCCTAAGGAAGAAGTATTTGAATAAGCTATTATATCTTGCAAATGGTTGAACCAAAATAGCTACATCATATACTTTTCTTGTAGCAAATTTAATCTTCTTAAATTTGTTAATTTAGTATTGTATACAAAATTTTATTTACGAAAAACCTAAAAAAGGGACCTTTAGAGCCCCCTAGCCCCCTTAGCTCCCCTCCTGCTGGTCAGTACTTTTAGTACCTATGTTGTTTAGGGACCCTTCCCCTATAACTGTACCAAATTTGGCTTACACATGAATTTTTTCCGCTACAATCTCTTCTTAACCTGGACTTTTTCTCTTACCACAAATACCAAAAATTCTTTATGTTAAAAAATGCTTGAGTTTAAATAAAAGACATCAGTCAGAGAGGCTTAATTTAAATACAAAGTTTTTTTTACTGAAACTGGCTTTGACTATAACATGGGAATGCCATGTCTACTTCTTTCCACTGTCAAAGCTAATATCAGCTGCTTCTTGAGAAAAAAGTTTAGTACGTTCCTAATAATAGATTACTAGAAGAAAAAATACCAGGTACAAAATTACTTATATATCAATTTCACTCTGATGAATATTAAAAATGTGCGACTGCAGTATAGTGCTGTTAATTTTAGCAATACCTGATCAAAATTGTTATTAGAAGTAATCTACCAACAGCAAAATACACTCTGGCCATCAGAAGTGGCATGGTTCAGTTGTCTACCCAATTGTTTCAGCTTAGCCACTGAGGATGTCACTTTACAGCATCAGCCAAACATCTAGCAGTAGAATTACTTCTGACACAATTGACATAAAAACCATTTATTCTGACAACACGAGTGTTTTATTTGTGTTGATTTTCCTCAGGAAACATAATGACACTATCCTACAACGTTGGCTTGACTGGGGGCTCTTTAGTAGCGTATGTCCTGGACGCTATGTTGGGCCCTCCTCTGGTAGCTCCTTGCCGAGCTCCTCCCCGATACTTCACCCCCAACCCCCGCACCATGCTGGCCAACCTGACAACACCGTACACCACAGTGGCTGCCACCACAGCTGTTACAGTGGCTACAGTGTTGACCACTTCACCGACCACACTCACCAGTCTAGCCAACCCGACAACACTCAGCAACCTTACATTAGCTCTGTACAATGTCACTACCATGCATTAGGTCGTCTAAGATTTAACTTTAAGATATATTTTCTGTGATCTGAATGCTAAGTTTGATTTTACAGTACTTCTCATTTTTGATGTTTATTTATAGTGGGTTAGGAAGATTGAGAAATTGACTTTGGATACAGTTAGAATCATCTTCATGTATAGTCTGAAGCCTCTTTTGATATGTTTTGTTTCCGGTATTATTAAGGGTGTTGAGGTCAAATAAGTTTACTATGTAGAGTAAATTTTACACAACGTGCTTTACTAATAATTTTCCAATACAAAAATGCACGCTGCATTGTTTTTGGTTAATGTAGTTTTAAAGTTAATGAAATAATGAAAGTAAACAGTAACTAGACAGTAAACATGAAGGACTGGGACTTGGCCAGTACAGCTGGGCGTTCGACCGTCAGAACCGAGATAGTACGGATAGAATTCCGACTGGCTGCTGAGGCCACTCCGGCTGACCTTCCAATCGCAAAGGGTTAAATGTTGCTTTTAAAAATTCTCTGTCCGAAAATATCTGTACTAAACCACATTGGTTGTAACTGTTATTTTTTTTACGGTTTAGGAAGATACAATTTCTATATTTTCTCAAACAATTCCTATGGTTTTTCTGAATGTGTTTTATATACTTTTTCATAATTATTTTCACTTCTACATTAACTTATATATGAATTTTTATTATGGTAGAACCCCTCATATCCGACCTCGGAATAAGCGACTCCTCGGGATATCCAACCTAATGTTTGACCGCCTACTTGTTTCCTGACTGGGGCGATAATGCCGAGCGTGATCGGTTGGCCGAAAGGCCAAAGGATGTTGCCATAATTGGGGTAGACGATCACTACTGATACCGATAACGGGTGTTACCGCCGTCGTGAGAGACAATCACCGAAGTCGCTAAGACTGCAAGGTACGCTCACGGGTGTTGTAACGGTCGCCGGAGACGATTGCCAATGTTGCTGAGACTGCAAGTTATGCTCACGTCTGTTGCCACGGTCGGGGGAGACGATTACTGATGTCACGGAGACTGTAGGTTGTGCTCCTCCCGATATCTGACCTTTTTGCTGTTCCGTTCCGACCATGGCTTGATCCGTCATGGTCGTATATGAGGGGTTCTACTGTACGTCTAACTTCTTATATACAAATATAGCTTTAAGTAGAATAGGTAGTGAATAGCTGGCAATTAATTTATGTCAGTATAATTATAGCATCTGTTGATGTCAGTTGTTTTTATATAGGTGTATAACAAGCTTTGCGGCTTGAAGCGATTTTTGCTGTTTCGTTTAATGTAAATTCACTGTGATATAACCAAATTCTCATTTACTTCTTGGTATTAATGGATGTAGAGTTCCTTATTGCTGCATTATTGCGCCTTATAAAGGTACACCTTATACAGGGTTATCAGTTTGACATGCATAATTTTATTAACATTTTTTATTCCAACACGATTGTGAATTTCCTTTTAACTTTCTATATTAATCTGTATGGTAATCTGGATTTTTTAGATTAGTTTGTTTTGTTGGTATTATTATTAAATTGATGAGATAGATATTAAGTCATCCGAACTAGCTATAGATATATATTGAAGGCAGTTTTCCTGAGAAAAATCCAAGTTAGGGTGGTCCATAATAACTGCTAACATTTTGTTTTGTGACAGCTCAGCTAATTTATGGGTTAGAGGGATGATTTTTGCGTTGAATGGTTCCTTAATTAATAGCATTATTTGTAATTATAAGTTATTCAAACTATTCAATATGAAATATGAATAAAACTCAAACTCATGAATTTCTTTGATTACAGTAAACTGTAATTGTTATTTTACACATCGTTGTTTTATTTATTACCTCACATAAATTGCATAAATTTCACACATTATAGGCTATTTATTTTTTATGCCATCTCCATTAGAAAAGTTGAATAGTATGTACAACTTAGAATTACAAAAAATCTATACTTATTTAATACGCAAGCAGGTTTTTTGTGACAATTACTCCTCCGAAACTACTGAACCGATTGACATGTTTTTGGTGTCATTGGAAAGAGCGTAACGTGAAGCTGTGCAGGAAATTTTCTTTATAGGGAAATAATTAGAGAGTGAGGCCCTTTAAAGTTTCGTATTTCTCCATAAGATTAACATGGGAAACAAAAATTGTTATGCAGCTCCAGCTGTTGGCAGAAATTAAAAGTGAGAAGAAGAACATATGTTAATTTTTAACAGTCAATAAGTTTGCTAATTTAACAGTTTGCTATAAACATTTACTGACTTGGTTGAAATGAAATACAACTATTTAATTTGGGTTGGCGTAAATATTACAATGGAAAAAAGCGAGAGAACCTGGTGGATAAATTGATGTATTCTGTTACGTACATCTTCAACATTTCCATAACCTTTTGGTCGAATCTTTTAAAAATATCAGAAATTATGACCGGTATTCCTTTGTAAATAACGCCTCTAATACTTAGAAATTGCTCGAATTCGAGCAACAGGGACACTAGTTCTATTAATTAAGCCACAATTCAACCCAAAAAAACATCTTTTTAACCCATGAATTAGCTCAGCTGTCACAAAACAAAGTGTTAGTGGTTATTACGGACCACCCGGGTAGACATCCTGTTTGCGATGAGAACAAATTGTGTAAAAATGTTATTTTTTATTTATTACGATATAAACATTATAGTGATGATGTAAGAACCGTAATCATTTAACACCTAAAGAAGTAACCTTTACCAAATTGTATTGAAAACAGTTTTGATCCTATTTGCATGTAATATGAATGTACAGTAAAATAAAGTTTTATTAGCGCCATTAGCGGGTTTCTTTCATTTGAGTCTAACTACTATTTTTGAATGAAAGTTGTTTGAAGGTGTCGTCTTCTTTATGTTTTAAAATACATTCAAATATCTTTTGCTTTAAGTCCTCACAACAGTATTAACAACCTCAAAAGCTTGTTTTTGTTAAAGATTCAACCATGCACTAATGCCACCTTCAGATATCTATCTATAGCTCAATCATTTGTATGTACGATTTAATTGTTAGGTAATACATTTAACCTTTTATTTTAAAAACTCGCTTTTATTAAATTATTTAAAAAATTTTTTATTCGCATAAATAACAGTTGTTAGATTTGATCTTGTGCTTTATATATATTGTGAAGTGCAGGTAACATAAACGCTTTTTTTGGACACACCTTAAAAAAACCGTTTTGGATTCAACTTTAATTTAAATGTAACTTTACAAAACCACTAAGAATGTCCATGTGGTGTTGATAAAATGTAAAATAATAAATTGCACACTTTTTGTCCGAACACTGTATTTTAGCAATATTTTCTAACTAGGGTAGAATAGCGTATAACACTTTCTATGGGCGTTTCAGTTCTGTTAAGTTTTTAGAATAGTATTTGGCAGATGATCTCTTTGACATTTGTCTGTTATGCTTCCAATATATCTATTTCACAAACTTTGCTGCGATAGTGAATATTAGTGGATGAAATTTGGAATCCGCAATATATCAAATTACCTTAGATTACCAAATTTTGTTGCTTACCTTCACAGTTTTAGTGTTAAACTATTCGGTTACTGTAGTCTAATGAATTATACGATGTCATGTAAGATATTTTCTCAAATTGCGTATTTTTATTTATTTGTCGATAATGTTTGATTATTACATAATATATGTACACTGTTTGTATCTAATACTCATGTTTTAGTTTTTAAATATATGTAACATATCAAAACAATAAAAAAATTCTTTACGTTTTGTTTGAGATGTTTAAAACTCTGTGTATTTTAAGACATGTACAGGTGTAGTGGTTGTGTACCATAAATTATACAAAGTTTAATGTTTTAATGTTGATGTGTACATTAAATGTATATTCCCTTTATTGTTATACACAGTTGATTAATTGGAAACATGAAGGCTGGATAATTTGAGAAGAGAAATATAAGTTTGTTAAAAAAATGTCTAGGCTTTCTTATCCTTATTTCTATTTCTCTTAATTTTAGATGGTTTAGTTTCAAAACCTGAGCAGTCATTACATTTTAAAAGAATTTATTGGCCCCCCAGGTATTGGATGTAAGAAAATCTATAATTAATTGTTAGTAAGAATTCAAAAAAGTTGGACATTCTCCCATAAGGTATCCATTTATTTATTAATATAATATTATTATTGTAAATTGTAAAATTATTGTGTTTAAGTTTAATATCAGTAGCTGAACCCCAAATACAACTGGTGTGGTATATAGGCACCAGGGCCGCGTTAAGGGTCTGTGGAGCCCTGGGCAAACCCAAAAGCAGTGCCCCCTTTTTTCCTTGTGCAGGCAGGCGGTGGTTGAGGGGCAGGGATCAGTCTAGTAGAGATTCGAGTGGTTAGTTACATTGATATCACAATTGCATACAAACTGAACTACCTTAATGCTCTTTACTTATTTAACTATATGGCTTAAATTTGTTAAGGGAACGGCTAAAATTATTAGAAAGTCTTTTTTTTTTTCAGGCAACACTTGACTTGTAGAACTACTGCTTCAATAAGTTTCCAGTCTAAAAATTTAACAGATTGTAAAAGTATATTTATTTTTTTATAGTTTTTACTATAATTTAACCTAGAGGTCATCCAGTGGTCGAAAACTCGACCAAAAGTATGTAATGAACATAATTGTAATGGTTCTTTATTTTCACCCCACGCTGTAAACAAAACATGTGATTGGAATTTTTCCATTTGTTTTGATTTTCAGTGAGTTCGTCGTTGTTAAACAACTTCTTGATCAGCATTGTAACGTGAGGTGTTATTAAATATTTACGGAAAGTAAATAAAAGAAACGTGTTATAACACTTAAAACATATAGTAGGAATCAATCCTGCTTATCAAAACAACGCTATTGTTGGGAGCTCAGCGATGCAGGCGGACCGGGAATACCGCCCTCCCCTCGCTGTTCCTAGAAATTCCGTGTCCTACTACAATTTGCATAAATTGAACCATAAGACTTGGATCATCATGCGAAGGCTCATTTTGTTCGTCTGAGAAAGAGGAATAAAAACATCTTTGAGTAAACGCTCTAGGATTTACCGTTAGCGAGTTATCCAAATCAGGCCATTATGTTGTATAAGAGACTCTTTGAAATGATAACTCGGTAACGGGAAATCGTAGAGCGTTCACTCAAAGTTGTTTTTATTCCTCTTTCTAGGAATTTCTAGGAACAGCTTTCTAGGAATGTCTTTCTATTCTAACAGTAGGCCTATGCATAGATTTTACCTGTGATTCACACGAGCTGAGAAAAAAGGTTTTAAATAAACATGCTTGTCTATTAATATATAGATAAAGGTTTTAGCAAAGTATATTTTTCAGAGTTGGGTATAATAAAAGGATTATAAATGAAAATTTGAACTACCATATGGCAATTAAACAATAGCCTGAATTATATATGTTGTTCGTACGTTTTTTGTATTTACTAAACAGTATCTCTAAGAGTAGTTCTGAGATGAAGAGTCACATTAAATCACTCCTGCTAGTCACCCCATCTGCAAGGATTTTCTGAATAAAATAAACTGGTTTTCGTCATGCTGGTGCATACCGCTATCAATATTGTAATGTTTTTACTTATTTCCATCAACCTTAAGAGTATTCTCATGTATTTAAAAAACATTATATCAAACAACACTTTTATTTCACAGTTAATAAACAATTACATAATGGGTAACAAACATCGGTATGCTATGATGCCATCTTGAGACCAATTCTGAAGATACGAATTATTGAGACAACAGGTCTGAAGAGACACCATAAAAGAGGACCAAAATAAATTACGTTAAATAATTTGTACATTTTTGGAAAATGAGAGAGTTGTTTGATGTAAAAAGTGGTGTTTTAAGAACCGGTACATATTAATAACAAATGTGCAAAGATCATTATGATGATAATTATGGTGAACTTATGGGTCATGTTCAACGTTTGGGAGAGGGAATTTCAGTCATTTCCAGGGCCGTCCAAACCTGGCTACACCACTGTATTCAATATTGATAATATCCATGGCTTGGCCTGTAGGGTTTCTTAGGCCGCAGGACAGGTTTCATTGCCGGTTTTGGCAGGAATTTGGTTGGCAGTTCTCTTTCCAGGATTTCTAATATTTTTTCAGCCATAGCTTCTGGCATTCCTGGGGGATAGATCTCAATCAACGCCGGATCACGCATTCTTCTATATACTTCCACCATTCTAAAAGCATAAACGAGAAGGTTTAATGACTAATCTCTATCATTGGTAGGCCAAAGCATAGATAAAACATACTCCCTTAGTAGATTTTCCATCCTTATGGAACAGCTGGAGCCAATTTTATTGTTAGTTCTGTCCAACACACTGTAGAGGTTGTGTTTTGTTTACAGTTTCTTGTTATATTTGTCATTAAAACCTTGTTAAACCAAATAAAACGATCTAATAATCATAGGCAATAACTTGGCCCCTAGTTATATAACCAAACAGTAAAACACAAATTATGAAATTAACCCTCAAATTATAGAAACAAGATTTCGTCTACACTAGCGATCAGTGTCACCGGACATGAGCTAGACACGAAAAAAGGGCTTCAAAATTTACAATGGGATGAGAAGTCCCCTAGTTGGTTTAAAATACCTAACTTCGTATGGTCGCCATTTCAATGAAAAGTATTTAAGTATTAGTCTATGGCCAAAACATACATTAAAAGAAGATAAAAAGGTTTAATCAATATCATCAGCACATTTAAGAATACAAGCAGGCTCCAGATTTTGAGATGAGAAGTGTAGTAAGTCAATAGCACAAGTTAACTATAAAACAGCAAACTTCTGCAGAATTCTTGCATGTATACAGACTCGGGTAACATTTAGGGTGTAAGAAGATGCTATCTAAATAGCTATAATCATCAATCTTCTTCCATCTCAAAAAATAAGTAGACGGCATTCAACAAATCAGAACTGAAATAGTTAAGTGACTCTGATCTTTCACTAATACTTACTTCAAGGTTAAAGGGTTATGGATGTGCTCTTTTGTTGTACTTTCGTTGTGAACTCCTGGATTTAGAGCCCCATTGAGGAAAAATATGTAGTCCGGTCTTAAAAGATCTTTGGGGAATTCATAAACTACAGATTTTGCTGGAACTATTCCTTCAAAACTTCTCGCCATCACGTAAACTGCTTGGTCATGCCAGTATCTAGAACCACATTCCAAATCAAATAAAGTAACTTCATTGAGGTAAAATAAAATCCTTTTACTAAATGAGTTAAGATCAAGTGGTAAGTGTACAAATTTAATTTCTGTTTTTTTTACCTGCGACACTTGATAGTACTGCAGTATTGCAGTTCGGAGATGTTTGTGGTTAATAATCAGCCCCTATTTAAAATAATTCTCTATACAGTAATTGGATAACAGGTACAGTTATGTAATGTAAATTACAACCTTATACACAACGGTACTACCCCCAAAGCTGTAAAAATTACGGTTAAAATATTATTGGAATTTTTGTGATTTTATAAAATATCAGCAATGCCCACCGTTTACCCGTTTATAAAATGAGGGTTGTTGGTAAGCTAATGGAGAAAAGAATGGGCCAGTTTTGGATTTTATTTTATTTGTTAAGAAAAAGATCAAGGTTAATTACTAGAAGGATCCGGAATATCGAAGTCTGAATTGTTGAGGTTTTACGTTTTACTGTAATTCCAGGACTTTTTGTAGCAGCTGTGAAAGACTTACTTTGAAAGAAACAACTAACTTTATTCATAGACCGTACATGTTTGTAATTACAGAATGGATGAAACAAAATTTACCTTTCTATTATAACTGGTGCAGTCATGCAATAATACATCGCTGTGTAAGCTCCGATGTATTTGGAGAGTGAGTAGAAGTTCTTCTTCAAGACATCACTGTTCAAATATTTTCTCAGTTTGTTTATGTTTCGGTTTGGGAGCTGAAACCTCCTCCCGTGCAAAGCATCAGCCACAATCTTTGTGACTTTTGTTTTGCCTGTAAAATTAGGTTTATCAGATTAATTACCTACTTATTTAAAACACTTGTTAATTAAAGAAAGGATATGGTTTTTTTGTGAATGCAAACAGATAGGATTGAATATTTAATTTCCAACAAGAATTTCAGAGAAGAATTTGCCAAAGCAAACTATTCAATAGAATTTGAACTATTCTCTCTTTTTATGAGGTGTTGTGTCTGCATCATACTTTTAGTCTAGGTAGTAAAAGCAGTACAAAAGTTCTCTGATGGGGCATGATGATGACTTGTGTGACTGGTCAAAATTAGTCGTCAATGTAACATTTTTTATTTATAAATATTAAAAAGATTTTGGTCATTAGATATGGCAATATTTCATCCTATATCCATACAAAATTTAGAAATTTTGGAATAAGATACTTTATACTATTTTGTCGTTTTCCTTGGACTTTTTAAAATCTACCTAAAAATAGAACCATTAAATAACTTATTCACGTTAAGAACTTTGTTTATAAATAGATATAACATATAAACAAGAGCAATACAGTTAAACTAACCCATATTTAGTTACCATGATTGAAAAAGCCTTCTATAACAATAATTGGATGTCTTATTGGCGCTTCTGGAAGAAACTGGGGCGCAATTTGTTTTACTTCTTGAAATTTTGTCAGAAGAATTTGTACGGGTTCATTGTTGTAATACTGTAAGCAAATGAACAAAAAAAGCTACAATTCATATAAATTATTCATTTAAATTAGCAGGTTAAAATATAAAATTATATGAAAATAAGTACCGTATTTAAAGAGCCAAATCTAAAGAAATTTGATTTTTGTTCTTATAAAACTTACTAAGAGAATTTTAATAAAAATCGGCATACCATGGGATCTTGCAGTACTTTAAGCACCGCTTGGACATCATAGTGGACTCCAAATTCATATAGACGTTTCCTCAACTCATCTGAAATTGGATTAAAAGGATTTAATAGACTTCTCTGTTGGATCTGAAAATCCCATAAATGATTCTTTCAAAAATATAATTTTCACCACATATCATAGCTGAGTGATCATGTAACGATAGCTTGACAATCAAAAGATCTTTTGATGATCCTATGAGTAAAGTCAGTAGCTTTTTGATGATTTGAAAATGAGCCCAGCTCTCCTTAATCAATGGGTTCTTAATACATAAGCCAAAGAAACGGTTGATCTAACGCTCCTTATACTAAACGGTTTTACCGGTGTCTATGTTTCTTTCACATTATACAGTTTCCGACACAAGTAATATACAGTGTCCAATTGACAAGCCAGATTGTGAACATAAAACCGTGCAACAGCTGATCTCACTCATCAACAACTGATTTGCACTGGTTGGTAATCTCCCATTCGACAAAAATTGTGCAGTGGAAGGTTGCATTTAACTACATGCACTAGTGAACCACGGTCACAGAGCTACAACCGTCCGATTCAGTGCCAGTGGACGGCTGCAAGACAATACGGTTTTCTGCAATTGCCCTAACCTTGTAGTCTGAAAGCTCTCATGCTGTTCTTAACACTACAAAAATAATTTACTCGTCCTGTTTTTTAACCGTACGGCAAAAACCGTATACTTTAGTGTGAAAGGAACTTACGACAAAGCTACCTAAGACATGCCAGCTTTAATACAGATTTGTGTTAAAATATGTCAAGTGGTGTCCAAATCATGATTATGATTTCTTAACAGCACTGTATTTTAGCTTTGACTATCAATGCAGTTTCATAATCTGACAACTTAAGTTAATTATATTCTTGAATATTTGTAAGAGTAAATTTGCAATCTTCTTTACATAAGCAATAAACTGAATTGGTCCAAATGTTAACCGGTCAAAAAGGATATAAGTCACTAACCATCCGAAATATGCAGAAGTTGGGTTGAAGTACAGTTGTCAAATGGAACTAAATCTGGCAATCCATCCAAACATGACACAACATTAGCTTGAAGAATACCAAGGACTAAAGTGAAGGTTAAAAGATACTTTTTAAATGGACCATTAAAATAAATCTTACATCCAACACAAAATCCGTCAGAGAAATAAACACCCATTATGTTATGTTGATAAGCATCAGTGATTAAATATTGTGGCAATATTTTTACTGTTGAACGATTATATTGATTGAATTCATTGATAATTATTTTAAGTAGTTTATTGCATCCAAAATTTAATAAGACTTAAATCTTTGCAACATTTTAAATTATTTGTGGGGTAATGATTTAACTACTACAAATACACATTTTACAAACCCAATTTACAATTCATGGGGGCAACCTTACAGTCACAAGCACAGAGTTTACTGCAGTTTTTATTTAAGTTACAAATTAATTCTTGTTACTTTATACAATCCACAGGGCTGATAAAATCTATTAAGCCCATAAATATATTTATATTATTTAACAGTGTTGGAGCCTCTTTTTAACTGTTGAATGGATAATGTTAGGTAGGTATTAGAAACATTACCCTTTCTCAAAATAAAAAATAAATTATTGAAAAATAGCAACTTATTTATCCACAACTTAACATTTAAAAAAGTTAATTTACATTAAAAGATACCGTAAATAATTTATGAACACATTTACAGAAGTTGGAAAACATAAAAAACTGGAGGTTTTCATCCCAACAAATGGCTTTATTTAAACTTTCTTCTGCCAAAAAATTTAAGTTAATTCAGTTAAAAATAGTTTAGGTTAAGTTAATTTAAATTAAGTAAAATTTAAGATAATTCATCCTCATTTCTATAGAAGAAAATTATTAACATAATGCAACAAGTACGAAGTACATTCGAATGTACCTATCCATAAATAAGTGTCCATCATATAATTATTGTATATGCTATTTTTGGTTTACATAATGAACTGCTCTTATAAAGATTAGTTACTAAATGAATATGATTTATCAGTCATTATGTTTCGAGACTTCATTCGAATATACAGGGGCATAGGTGTCTATAGAATTGTTCTCTTTTTAGTTTTAACAAACTCTCTGTTGAATTCATGGTTCATTTTGGGAGAAGGAATGCCAAAATTTATAGGACCTGATTTTGATTATGAATTGGCTTCAGATGGTAAGAGACATTAGTAGTGTACAATAATTGAGCTATAGAACTGTAGTAGGAATAGTTATCAAGTATTTTTTTTTTAATAAAAATAAAGTATTTGAAAAGGTAAATTATTTAACATTTGCTGTAAAATAAAACTGAATTATTGAAGAAGGGTTAAAATAGTTAGGACTAAACAATATTGAAATACAAAATTGTAAGAATTTAATACAAACTGTGTAATATTACTGTGTGACATATGGGTATCTGAAAATAATTATACTAATATTATAAATGTGAAGGTGTGTGTTTGTTTGTTTCAAGTTCAACCACACATTAACTACTGGTCGGATTGAGCTGAAATTTGGTATGATGATAGCTTAGTTCCGATTAACATACAGACATACACTCTCATCTCATAATCTCTCTCACACTCTCGTCCTTTTGGGCTTCGCCCCAGTGGCTCTGGAGATTCCCATGTTAACCAGTATTATTACAGTTTGATTACAAGTTGTGAATTAATTGCTCTTTGTGAATTTGTGATACTGTTGTGTAATTACAAATTTTGTAATTTACTTTTTCCTATTGTTTAGGTTTAGTGGTAGAACATTAATATGGCTATGGTAGATGTTTTATACCATATCAAACCGTAAATTAACAGAACCTAATTTTCTCAAACCATGTCCTCTCCTATTGCAAACGCAAAATAAGATTATAATTGCAATAATAATTTTATACCTACGCCAACCCCGTACGAAGGACGGGTACTCTGCTAGTATTGTTAATTTAGGCCTCATTATAGAGACACAGGAAAAAAGGTAAAAAATATTTGTTCAAGTTTTATCTTTGGATTTATAATAGAGAGTCTATTGATGAATACAATTGTATCAATATAAATAGGTACAGTATTTTTACAAAAATATGAAACTATAAATTCTCTTCCAGTAAAACAATTAATTAACAGGGCAACATTTGATAATAAATGTTCAAAATAAAAATTTTTTAAAGGTTGAAAAAAGTAATAGTTTAGTGGTTTCAAAGATTATAATGTAGTTTTAATAATCTCTATCAATTGTAATTCTATGAATTACAGTACTTTTGTCAAACCCATGAAATATCGGCAGTGTTTATAAATTATTATTTGTATTTACTGGTGTGAGTGCTAAATTGTAATAGTTTTTACCGCTTTATGCACAGCAGTTTATTGATTCCTTTTTTTATTGCAGATGAACTCAAGCAGTATTTACAACGGTATGGTGTCCATTACAGCCTTAACACAATTCTAAACATGCTGGAGCCAGAGGTTAGTATGGTTAACAGGTTACAATACAAAGCATTTAGTTATTAAAAGGGCAATGAACAAATACATACCATAAACTGAAATCTCATTATGTGAAAACAGCTGAAATATTCATCCTGTACAGCATAAACAATGTTATTGTTTGAGTAATAAAAGGGTCTATAAACAAAAACAATACATAAACTGACATCTCAATCAGTGAAAACAGCTGAAATATTTATCCTGTGCAGCAATGTTTGATTATAGTCGGGACCACGTAAGTTTGCAGTTGAGGGAGGAGCCTATTTACCATATGGGTTTGAATGAACCAATGAGAACCGTGCGGTGTTGCCAAATCTGTTAATACCAGCTGATTTTAATATATTGCTTAGTATATTTTAATTAGTGTTGTCAACGGGCGATGTGGCAACGTCGCACTAGCCTTGTCTTGTGATTGGCTGCCACCAACTGCAAACTTACGTGGTCCCGACAACTGGCCACAGCTGTTTCTGAGTCAGCTTGTCATTGTTCGCGCACCACTGTGCCTCTCAGGTCGTACGGCCAGCACTGCTGGCCATTGTGGTTTCTCTGTTAGGTTGGTCACCATTCTGCTAACCCAGCTACACCACCTTGTATCAAGTATTTTGTTTTTGTCAATAATAGTAAGGGATAAGGTTTTACACATTGAAACTAAAAACAATTTCAAATAAGAATTAATTTGAACTTGAACTCACAGACACAGCTGTTAATAATTAACACAGCTGTTATATAATTATTATATATATATATGAATTTGAACGGATGGTGTTTTCGGTCTAGGTACCTCAAAACGAAAAAGTAAATCGGTCCCGGGTTCAGGTCTCATCATGAGTACTACGGTAATAGCTTATTCCCTATATGGGAAATTCGCTAATATGAAAAACAAATTTAAAGTAGATCCCAACATGGATATTCAGTAGTTTTAAATCTTATTAGCAAATAAGCTGTGAAGTTTCTCCTGTAAAAAGAAGAAAATAACCAAAGTAGGGACTATTTTTGTTTCAAAATATTTTACTTCTGTTAGAGTACAAAAGATAAGACGATCCAAATTCTACTGGGAAAGTTCTACCAGGACAAACTCAAGGCTCCCAGCTCCATTCCTCCTCCACTCTTCAGACACCCTATCATATCCATAGATGGATTCTTCACACACGGTAACTACAAATTGGTTAGTGTATTGTGATCTTCTTGTAATTTAGGTATCATCAATAATAATACAGGGTGAGTTTCAGAGTTTCTACTGACGCCCATAACTTCGCCAGTGGATTCTAGTGATCAAAAGGATAAAAAAGTTAAGATAAACCCTAGTCCCACTCCGAACCATTTGGTCGTAATTGAGAAATTTGTGTTTTCAAAAAAATATTCGACTTTGTCTCACAATTTACTATATAAAAATAAAACCAATTAACATAGTGATTTATATTTAAAAATTATTCGAAAGGGCATTAAATTTGCTATAAAACAAAGTTTACATGTAAAAATATTTCATTTCATACATCGGTTCCTAACCGAATTAAAATAGAAAATATGGTATATAATTATTTAGGTTAAGTTTAAAGACCCTTTTTCTTACTTTATTCTGGTGCCACGCAATGTCCAACTAGATAAAAAACTTCCTCATTGAATAAGCTTTAAATTGATATGCAATTTTTAATTGTTGTAGGTAGAAATGACAGAAATCTACATAAAGATCCAATATTCAATTTAAAAAAATATTATGGAAATCCAATATTGGATAGAAGGTTTTTTTGTCATAGAATGCTAGGCACGAGCCCGGAATTGTTTTTCACATTACTTCGCTTCAGGTTAGACCTAGGGGTTACGGCATTATCACTTAGATAAAAGCCATTGGTGATTTGGCGGGATTTGAACCCGGGACGCTCTAACCACTAGACCAGCTCACCAACTTTAGCTTAAGAAGATAAATCCCACACAATCAAGCATTTCAAATAGCTACTCTGGCTATTGGAGTGGTTGACAGTGAAATGTGATATGGTAAATTTTCTCTATATTATATTTCAATGTGTGTTCCCAAAAACATCTGATTCCAAAACTTAACTTCCATATTCAACCATAATCTTTTCCTCACATTTATTTTGGCAACAATGTCGCCTTTTTCATATCATTGTCAAGAATGTGTGAAGCTTGTTATTCTTGTCAAAGATCTAAAGAAGGCAACAAGTTGGCCAAAACAATTAATTGTCATCCACTCATAGAGAAGGTTCGTCATAAATCACTAGACAGAATCAGGTGAAACTACCTTTTATTTATGTATCTTCTTTGAGTTCTACGTCAATTGTATCCATTCGTACAACAACATTCGTGCAACTTAACCATACAAAATATATTTATTTTAATGTTGGTGTTTGTAGGCAACACTGGGACACCAACCCAAAATCACTGCCTTGGGTTAACAGTTCGTCAGGGTACCGATTGAGCTACTAAATCACCAACATAAATTGAGTGTTGTTTTGATTGTTTAAATGGCTATTTTAATAAAATTATTGTAGCTAGGTATCTGGGAAAAGTCAGAGGCTTTTATAGTTCAAAATTGGACCCACCTTTCCTTGATCTGGATGTTATTGAATAGTCCTGACCAAAGAGCCAGCAAATCTTTGTCATTATAGATTCTTCAACTCATTCAAAACTCATCTACTGGTATGTCAGTGTCATATACATCT